CTGTCTTTTGTAGCATGGAGACTTCCCGAGGGCAGAGGTGGGATCTCCTCACCCCTCGGAGATGGTTGGTCTGGCAGCTGGCAGGCCGAGGGCTAGCGAGATTCCCGCTGCTGTCAGTGTGGGTGCGTCCCGAGGGCCCTCCAAAGGGGAAGCTTTATACAAGGTGAAGTTAAGACTGCATAGAAATTGGGCCTTTTTTTCTAATGAATAATAAATATTGAAAGCACGAGGTAGTTCAAGGCGGTTGTTGTGCCTCCCTAGTGAGCTAGAGTTGCAGTTCGGATGTCCCCCGGAACGGAGCCTGACCCACTAAACATAGCGGATGGGGCTTGGAAAACGACGTTGTGCCTGCTGGCACCAGGGCCCTGCAGCAAGGATTGTCCAGTTCTGGGCTCCCCAGTTCAAGAAAGATGAGGAGCTACTGGAGAGTGTCCAGCGGAGGGCTGTGAGGATGAGGAGGGGACTGGAGCATCTCTCCTATGAGGAGAGGCTGAGGGAGCTGGGCTTGTTCAGCCTGGAGAAGAGAAGGCTGCGAGGGGACCTTAGAAATGCCTCTAAATATCTGCAGGGTGGGTGTCAGGAGGATGGGGCCAGACTCTTTGCAGTGGTGCCCAGCAACAGGACAAGGGGCAACGGGCACAAACTGAAGCAGAGGAAGCTCCAGCTGAACATGAGGAAGAACTTCTTCCCTTGGAGATATTCAAGCCCCGCCTGGACGCGGTGCTGTGCAGCCTGCTCTGGGTGACCCTGCTTGGGCAGGGGATTGGACTGGGTGACCCACAGAGGTCCCTGCCAACCCCGACCATTCTGTGATTCTGTGGTTGTCCGTTCGTGTTGCTGTAGGAATCGGGCTCTTTACACTGTGGCTGCAATAAATTTAATACAGAAGAGGTTTTGAGGAGATAGAGCTTTAACATCTTTTAACATTTAGAAGACATACAACAGTTTTAAAAAATCAGATTAAATGGTGAACATTTACTGCAGTGACACCTGCAAAGGTATTCA